GCACTCCAGTTCTCTAATCAAAACTCCACTCAAGATTCAGGTTGCTTGGACGGGTGAGTTTCAGTGAAGTATGACTATCGGAAGCACATTTGACAAACCTTTTCTGTATTGTCTCCAGCAAACTTACGAGGTGTAATCGCAGCACTATATTGCTGTGGGAGTGCAGGCATATATTTGCTTGTCTTAGCTTTGACTAAGGTGATTTTAATATAGAAACAGATGCTGAAAGCATTACAGGAACCCTTCTGTGGCATGTGCTATGGGCTTCCCAGAACGCCTGGGGGAGTTCCTCATTTTCACCTCGCTTCTTCCATTGGTGAAGCGAATGAACCAAGACATGCAAAGGTTAATAGGATGGGGAGAACTAAATGAGCCCTCAGAAGCCCAGAGACACAAATCACCCCCAGACTGGCCAAGAGGACTACACTCAATTGGGATTGAGCAACTTGCCCAGATGGCACACTTTATCTGAAGAAACAGGTGTATTCCATCCACACGTACGGTGTGTTTTGACATGCTAGCCATGTCATGCAAGGTTGGGTAAAGTGCCGCTCTCCACATATTGTTGATCAGCAGCCCCAGCCAATGCATCTGGGGTCAGTAGATTCAACGGGAGCCTTTGAGAACAGACCCAAGCCACAGTGGCATCCCTGGCTTTTACGAGCACTCGCATGCAGCGTTTTCAAAGGACATGCCAATGAGCCCACCTGTCCGTGGTGGGGAGCGGCGACAGGGACTGTGCATCAGGAAGAGGAATGAGGTGAGAACTGGCCATCCTTGGTCCTCTGTGCAACTGTGCGGTGAGCTCACACTGGGCAAACAGGGCCAAGTGGCAGCACAGCCTACAGCAGTGAAGTCTTACTGATTGGCTCGCTCTGCTTTCCCAGCTAGGCAAGCCTGCAGCAGCCTTCCTGTTTTGATGGGGGACTTCCATCGGAGCTACTGCTGTCTTCTTGGCTCTGACGTGTTTTGGGTTCATTCCTTGGCTTTGCCTACACGATACACCTCCCCGCCTCTGCACATCTTGGCTTCCGGGTCTTTCTCTGACCGCTCACTTTGAATTCAGCTGAATGATGGCGAATCTCCTTGAACGTTGCTTTGCTGGGGAAGTGGGAGAGGTAGTGAATGAGGTGACTGGCTCTAGCATCAGTCCCTCCTGTGTCAGGGCGGGTCCTTCCACTTGGCAGAGTAAGGTGGCTGCTTCACTCCGCAGCAGCAGCAAAATTTAGCCGCTCCCTTTCATGGGAGGGCAGAGATGAGAACGCCAGACCACCTGTCCTGCACCCTCTCTATACGCTTGCTACACTCAGGCATACAGGAGGGCCCTGACTGATGAAAGGAAGATTTGTTTGCCATTCCAGTTGGCTTCTGTATGAGGAGGAATGGGGAGGAAGGGACACCCCCTTTGCCTCAGGCCACAAAATGCCATGGGGTGGCCCCACTCACCCTCCTCTTCATACTAAAGCACACTAGGGGAGCAGAAGCTTATTGACAGTGGCTTGGCCTAAGGCCATATTTGTGTTTGGGACGAGGTTTCAAGCGAGGGATATCCCAGCTTGCCTGTTGAACTCTTAGCATCACAGCTACTCTGACACTTGCAGTGAAATGTGGACATTACCCTGTGCATTGCCAGCTTAGAGGAGCTGCCCGCGAGGTTACAGCATCCATTATTCAAATACTAGGCTACAAAGCAATTATTAAAACATTTCAATAAATACACCTGGCAGCTTGTGTGGTGCCTGGATTAGAATTTTGCTTCTATAGAAAGGATAGAGAGAGAGATGGAGAGAGGGGAGGGGGATTGAGAGCTTCTCCTCCTCACAGTCCCCTTTAAACAACTTTCACAAATCAATTTTCTCTATGTGGTTCAGTTTCCTTTGACAGTTTAAACCTCAATCCAATCAGCAGTCTCTAGGGATTTCCGAATCACTAAAGATTAAAATCCCCCTCAAGCCCCAAGTGTTTTTGCTAATGCTGTGTGTTTAATAACTCCACTTGTGAGAGATTTTGCTGGAGAAAATCCGGCAGTGCGGAAACCTCCGTAAGCTATGTGCAGTTGAATTAAAAATGTGAGGCTTGGGCTGGCTTTGTCTTTGGACAACGGCGGTAAAAGGGTAGACCACGAGTCTGCAGAAGTTATCCCCAAACTGTCCTACTGGGGAGCTTCCCCCTCTTCTAACCTTGGCCTGGGCAAAGTTAATCTCTACACCAAGCAGAGTCTGGAGAAGCTATCCTCTGGGCTCCATGATCTCCTTGAATTCTCAGTCACCACAGTCACTGGACAGGCTGACTGGAGAGTCTGGGAGCTGTACTCCAAACATCATCATCATCATCATCATCATCATCATCATCATCATCATCATCATCATCATCATCATCATCATCTACACGCTAGTACCGACATTAACCTTGTGAGCATGTTTCTTACAATGCGATGGAAAGCAAGAACATCGAGGGACATTAAGGAATGGCTGGCAACGGGCAGCGCACAACGCAACAGGAGATCTGTTCAAATCGTGTTAAGAAATGAAGGTAGGAAATGTGACTGCTACAGAACCAAAGACGACATTTATTACCAGGCTGGGTCAACCGTCCCGTTTTAAAATATATTAATCTCCTTTACAGATTGCAGCATCAAACCTAGCTTCATACAAAGGCAGACGTTCTGGCAGAAATGTAACCTTGGTCTCTGGCTGTCTGTCTCTGAATCAAATTAGCTGAACTATGCAGCGCCAGCAGGAGGGTTCCCATTGAGATCGTCATGTTGCGGCCGCTCTGCCGAGGCCAAGATCCCATGGAACTCTTGGAGGGAGGCACTGGGCCTCAGGGGTGCCCATGCAGACATTTTGCATACCCCCCTCAGCCCTTTGAAGAGGCAACTGCAGGGAGTGCTGTGACTTGAGCTCCTCCTGACTTCTCCCCACATTCGGAGAATAGGGAGGCGTGTGTGTCACACAGCCTGTCACCCACACCCTAAAACAGCCTCTTGGTTACAGGACTGGGGGTGAGGGAATGCTACCCTATTGCCAGTCTGTGGCGAAATTCAACAGCTAATCCAACTGGCTCTTGTTTATGGAACACCATTTTGTTCTTTAGCTCAGGCAGCAAAACAACGTATCCTGCCCACTGGTGCTCTCACCTTGTCACGCATCCTATGATCAGAGCCAAGGATCCTTCTTGGGTGTCCAGAACAGACGGAGGACACACAGCAGACAGCACCTTCTGGAGGAGCCGAGGAAGCTAGGCCTCTTGCCAGATCCATCCATTTGCTCATCTTGACTAGCCACTGTCCACAGGGTGGTGGATCAGCCCTGGGATTAAGTGGGACAGACTAGGGCACCAATTAAGTAATTTAAGACCATTTAGGACTATAAAAGCAATCTTTTAAAAAGCAAAAGGCAAACACCGAGGGACTACTTTCTTTCACAATGCCCCTGAACAATTCAATGTCCAGCGCACTGGAAGCATAACCTAGATACTGACCAACAACTGTTCAATGCTGACATCGTATAAACCACCCATGGGCCACCCTGAGGTGCTGAGCTTCTGACATCTGCCCAAGGATACTGGGTGTTGTTGCCCAGCCTGTGCAGGCATGTCCTTCAACTTAAGACTTTTGACTAGAGATAACCTAGGACTTTCTGCAAGTGAAGTAGGCAAGAGAGCTGCAGGCTCTCCATAAAAAAAAGGGCCTAAGGGGCTGCCCAACAGCAAAGGAACACAACAACAGCAGCAGCAGCAGCAGCAACAACAACAACAACAACAACAACACTGAGCGCATGCAGGGAGGTGGTGTTGGTGGAAATCACACGTCAACAATAGAGTTAAAAGGTTGTCTACTGTGATCAATGATAAACACTCCGCTATCTAGTAGGAGGAGACATTAAGAGATTAAGGAAGTTAAGAATTAAGAAGACGGTGTGTTCTTTTCAAGCAAGATCTGTATTTTAGTCAATTAGGCGTTGATGAGGACCTGCCAGATTGATCGCAATCACCATAGCTTTTGTTCTGCCTCCAAAGACTCCTCCTGAGCCAGGCTCTGAGCTAGGGGTAGAAATCCAGTGAGATCACCTGATATACGTGGACTGTGCCCAGGCACCGCTCCTGACCCAAAATGTGATGTGTTGTTTCAGTGATTTTAACAGGAGACAAAATGAATATATAACCAGTATAATGATTTCCCAAGTGTCATGGTTGCATTTTGCTAATAAATAATTTTTTTTAAAAAAAGCATTTTCTAGAACAACCCTATACTGCTATCTTCTTACTTCAGCTAACTGAAGCTGTAAACTCAGCTAACTGGATGCATTATCCACAAGTGTGTTAAGCCGCTGCCTCCCACACAGCCTTCCTTACCAGGAACATTGCACAAAATCTAGAATTATCTGTTCAAGAACAGCTTTGTTTCCCTAGCACTGGGTAAAATGGATGCCTGCATTTTAAACCAGGAGATTCTCTGCACAGCCTTTCTATGCACATGTGACTTGCTTGTTCATTTATTTACTTTTTATGACACTGGTTTATATCCTTGACTTCCAGGGTATTTTTAAAGCAAAGCTTGAGAGCAACACATCAAAAGCCACGCTGTAGCTCATTCTTTTAAGAAACAAGCACCAACAGCATTATCGCTAGATATTTTCACAAGGACGGCATAAACACTGTTTTTTTTTCCATAATGTGTAAGGTTCACTTGTTATTGAAGAAGCATTATTCTGGAGGCAGATTAAGAGGACAGGACATTGTCTAAAAAAAGACAATGACGGGTGCAATGTCTTAATTGTTCACTACTCTTTGATCACATGGCCACCTGCTTCACTCCCAGTACATCAGCAAAAGACGTAATGGGCATCCTCAACACAAATCATCCCCAAATCACCCATAATAAAAATTAACTTACTAGATTCATCTGACAACGGTGAAAGTTTGAAGTCATCAATACACGACTAACAAAGAGCGGCTTAAGAAAGCCAGAAACATTCGTTCAAAACATATTTTCCTACCTGAGGTAGTATCACCGGTTGTTGGAATTCCTCGGCGGTCAGAAGTTGGGCGTGACGACCCCGGCATGCTCACGGGTTCGGAGCGAACAGGCTGGATCCTGAAATATAAACCACAACAGTTACTGGATCTAAATGTCAGCCCATGGAGATCAGTGTTGCTATGTTTTACGTTGCAAAAAATCGAGCTGCGGGAGATGTCTGGAACAACACCGTTGCCGCACAATTTTGTCATCCCAGACAAACAGGAAGGGACTGCTGGAATCGCAGCAGTTCTCGCTACCTGTTCAGGAGCACCTCTTCTCTAAAACAGCTTATGTGGACAAGCAGAGATGGCTTGAGGGACCCTTTTGCCCTAGATAAATTTTATTTATTTATTTATTTATTTATTTATTGCATTTATATGCCGCCCATCTAGACATGGTCTACTCTGAGAAAAACACTGCACGAAGTGGGATGGTGGTTAGACCAAAAAAAGAGAGGGAGACCTGGGATCAAACTCCCATCTGCTCGTACAGTGAGAGAACATGACTTAGGGAGAGGGTATGTGGCTTGCATGCCAAAGGCTTCTGTATTTGCAGGCAGAATTAGGGGGGAAAGGCTCGAAACCCTCAAGAGCTGCTGCCAAGTCAATGTCAGCAATAGTCCACTGGTCTGATTAAGGCAGCTTTGCATCATTCGTGTTTTGGTATAAAGCTCACTAAGTGGTCTTGGAGGTTCATCCACTCACGTTCAGTATAGATGGAGGTGGGAACCAACTCTGCCTTGGACAGAGGGTCAGAGATGGACCTAATAAATCCACAGACACATATGACACCCTCCACATATTAACAGAGTGGGCAGTGAGAGTGGATTTGGACAGAGTCCTTCACATGGCTGAAGAAGTCAAGAGATGAGGCAACGGGTGTGAGCAGGGGAGGTGTTTTCCCCGAAGGAGCTGTTCTCTTCAGTGGCAGCAAAGAAAGAAAGAAAGGGGAGGTGGGTCTATTCCATCCACTCTTCTGAAATATTCCACCTGCCTTTGGTTCATTTGCTCAACCGGCAGTTGGTAGCCACTCCGTCGGACTATTGAAACCAGTTCAATCTGGTCAAACCACCTTAAGAACTGTCAGCGTAAGAACTGGCCTTTGAGCACGCTTGTTTTCCTCTTCCCTCCCCCTCTCCTTTTCCCTTTTGTGCCACTTAAATTCCAGGTTGGAACCTTAAAGGCAGGGACTGTCTTCATGAACTGCTCTGGGAACTTTTTCAGTTGAAAACAGTGCAAAGATACTATCTCAAAATCAGGCACGAGCAAAGGGAAACACACTGGATTGGGTTGGATGGCAACTCCCATCAGTTCCAGCCAGCGCAGCCAACAGCGAGGAATGCTGAGAGTGCATCTGGCCAATGAGATAGGGAGGGCTGCATTTTACCCACACTCTAATTTACGGATGCAGCCAAGATAGCAAGCCCTACCTCAGTCCTTCCTTGTGTTCAAATGTGCCCACTGATGATTGCCTGATGGACTGTCAAGATTGTACAGAAAGCATCAGTATGTAAGACCTAAGCTAAAACCAATCCCTTAGTCACCCCTATGGCAAGCCAACAATTTATTACTGACTTATTTCATTTATACCCTGATGTACTCCCAGTACAGAGATCTTGAGCACCATAGGTTTAATATAGCACCTTCTGGCTTGCAAGTCATGTTTCATAGATGTGCAAACTATGGAGCCAATCTATAGTCATCAAGGCTAACCAACAACTAGACCCCCCTACTTCATAATTCATTTTGCTTTGTATGCAAGGTTTAAATGGTTTAAAACCATCTGCACGTTTGTCAGTTAACTATTAGCTGGGTGGGGCCCAATGGGAGGGGGAACAGGAAACACCCTCTTTGTAAAATCCACCGATGCAGAGTGCTTCCAACCTGAGACTGTTCAGGTCCAGATCATCTGTATCGAAGTCCAAGAGCGGCTGCGGAGTATCGTTTGGGCCGTGCGACTGGAGCACTGAAGAACTGGAAGAGATGACAGTGGTTTGGCCTGAAGGGTGGATGGTCTTGAACTGGAACTGTGGGCCCATCCACAGGCGGCGGTGAGGCCCGGTATGGGTCACAATTTCAACCTAGGAGAGAAGCACATGAGTGACATTAAGGTGGGACTCTGACCAGCATACAGTAGCAATGAAACCCTGAAAGTTTGTTATTCAGAATTCTGTCTAGATTTACCACTTCTGCACCTGTTTCCTGCAAACTCAATTATAACCGGACTAAGAACTGGATTCAGAATCCTTAAGACCACACAGAAGATTGGTAGATCACGCTCAAACCAGGGCTGTGCTCTTACTGGCCTCTTCTATGATGGATGACCAGGACTTAGATACCCAAGAACACTGCAGGATGTTGTCCAGTGTTGTTTTTGACACCTATCTTGATATGCTAGGTCACAGCCTTTTGTTTTATTTTTTCCAAGAATTTTAAGGGATTTGCAAAAACTCACATATCTGCTATGCATGCAAAAGAGAGGAGGAGGAGGGGCGCATAGAAGGACAAAGGCTACCAAATCTAAATTGACACTGAATATGGCTTTCCAAAGTCATTTGCTTCCTCTTGGTGATGCTTCTCTAGTTGAACATATGTGTTTCCTTGGTTTAGCCATTTTCTCTTCAGATGCTGGAACTTCAATGCTCCAGGTGACTTTTGATTGTTATAGCAAGTAATTTTTCATGTTTAAAACCATCTTGCTGTTGGGTGATTCTTTTCCAGCCTGGGAGGGAACAGGATCCAGGCGGCTCGATTCTCCATCTACATTTCCCCTTCTCTTGGGGTAATGCAGGTTGTCGGCCTGACGCAAGCAGCTCTTTTGCACCCTCATGCAAATTAGGCCACGACGAAAGCATTCTGTATATTTTGAGCTTGAAACCATCAGCCGCCGCAAGAGCCGAGAGGTAAACAGATGCCTCTGCCATTTCACCGAGGGTAGGAGCCAGATGTTCCCGCTCCTTCCCCTGCCCGTGTGTAGGACAAACATATTGTCTCTACTTCCCAATGACAGCATGCATTACACACTCGTCTAATTGAGAAGTGGATGCAAAGGGCAGGGTCTCTTTGCTGCATGCTGTTACTGTGATAACAACACTTCCATTGGAGAGGGGAAGAAACATACAACATTCTGTGGGCTTTAATCTGAAGTGGCTGGCTGGGGGATCGTGAGCATCTTTTGTATTCCAAGGAGATGCCACCGTTATTACTGCATAAGTAAAAATTAGGCATCCCTGAATATACCTTGAGCAGCCCCCAAGATTTCTGCAAAGGATTCCCTTTGAGGAGAAACACGATGTTCCGGTGGATTTCCCAAACTGGCTAGCTGTCAACTTTCATGTGCGTCCAGTGGCTGCAGAGATGCACTGACAATTGCAGACAGTGTCCAGAACATCATGGTTCATGGAATTCACTGGAGTCCATCCAGGTGGAGGCTCTCCTTGGCCATGGGAATTTTACTTGGGATTTTTTACCTAATTAATATTAAACCTGGATAATTGTTATCTCTGGTCAAGGCAATATAGCTGTGATGGATAAACTTTAGGCTGTCTGAAAATTGATTTTCTTCCCCCACCCTAAAACAAAAACTCAAGTCCATGGAAGTGGGTGTGGACAATGAAAATAAGAAGCACTCTTTTCTAGGCCAAACTCTTGGTCCTGGTCATTCAGCATTTGTGTCCTCTTGTTTTGTTCATACCCTGCCTTTCTGCGGCTCCCACTGTTCTATATGGCCTAAAACTGACCAATCTCCAGGATCTTAAGCAATCTCCATGCAGAGCCCCAAGTGGAACTGGAGTAATTTTATTATAACATTAAGCAACAATTAAACAAATGCAAAGAAACAAATAAATGAACAAACAATAATAAAACAGCAATAATCTCTTTGAATATTTGGCAAACTATCAGAGAGGTTCTATTAGGGTGTGGCTACTGTGGGGGAATGAAACAGAACAGAGAAAAAGGCATGCTAGAGCACGAGTGATGATGTGGGTGTGTGTGAATCCACCGAGTTCTCAGCTGTGAAAGTTTTAAAGGGGTGGCTCTGCACAGGCACAGAGCGCCTTAATTTGATATCCCATATATATAAAAACATAAACTGACCTACAGCAATAAGCTTGAAGTGGTGCTTCTGTCCTAATTTATAAACACATCTGCTTGGGAATAAGCACCCTTAAGATGTTTTTATCACAGGCATTAGATCCCCAGATTGAAAAAGGATTCCTCATCTCCCCAGGGAGACTTTGGGGAACTTGGGGTGCTCCATATGTTCTTAGGTCCCAAATACCATGAGCTCTAGACTCTAGCCAATGATCAGAGAGGATGGAAACTCTACTCCAGCAACATCTGGCGGGGCTGCAAATGTCTCTGTTTGTCTCAGAGTCCAGCATAGCATCTCCCATACCTGAGAAAGCCATTCTTCATCTTCCTGCCCACTGTGGTCCGATGCTAAGCTGTCGTAGGATTCATGACGAGTGATGGGTCCTGGACTTCCAAGTGGAACCACTGTGGGGGGGGGGAAAGAAGAGGGGTGGGATCAGGAGCGGGTAAAAGAATGGTCAGAAAGCAAGTGGCATAAAAAAATTTCAATATGACTTTCTAAAGTAGGAAAACGCTTATGAACCATGAGTAAGTCTGACAGAGCTTGGCGGTTACTTTCCAAAAAGGAACTTGGGTGGACTCTGGGATCTGTAGTCCAACAGAGTATGTTCTCCATGTTCTGAAGAATTGATGAGAACAATAAAAGTCTAAGAGTCCAATCAGACCAACAGCCTGTTTGTCCAGCACCATTCCCTCACAGCCAACCATGAGGTAAGCCACCTTGGCTCCTTTTAAGGAGAAGGGTGGGGTTAAAATATTTTAAATAAATAAATAAACAAGACATCCCAGTAGGAGGTACAAACGCCGAGCATGCGGGCAGCAGCTGTCTCCCCCTGTATGGCCTTGCACAGCTGCCATCAGCCTTCAGCTGGCGGATGGTCACTGATTATGAGAACTGTTGTTCTAAAAATTTGGAAAGTTATGGGTTTCTCCTGCCTCTGTATGAAATAATAGGAGTGGTCCTATTATACTTAGGCTATAATCTATCATGCGGTTCCCTCTTCCCCCCGCTCCGATGGTATAAACACAAACAAGTCTGAAATTTCTGCATATGTTTCTAAGATATCAGTGGTGGTCCAATGCAATGGTTCTTAACCTTTGTTACTCAGATGTTTTTGGACTGCAGCTCCCAGAAGCCTTCACCATCAGCTCTGCTGGTTGAGGTTTCTGGGAGTTGCAGTTCAAAAACACCTGAGTAACAAAGGTTAAGAACCACTGGTCCAATGGAAACTGCATTCTGCTTAGCCTGCTGTACAATCTATGATCCTTCACCCCTGGTTTTGCTGATTCAGGACCTTGGTTAAATAGGAACAGGGTATGATACAGGCTAGCCAACCTCAAAGGCGAAGAGATAAACTCCAGGATCTCTGTGAGGAAGATTTCCCACAATTCTTTGAAAAAGACAGGCCAACAAGCATATTTCAAATGGCAAATGACTTTGAGGAGTGATTTTTTTTAATTGGGAAAACAATAGAGGAGAAGGATGAAACACTCCCCATCCCGCCCAAGTAGTGAAGCCTTGGTCCAAATCAAGGGGTGCCTCAAGAGATCATTCTCAGGAAGCCACATCACTTGTCTGCATTTCTGAAATGAAAAATAAAACTCCGAACCTGGAACTTCACATTCACTGATGAGAGGATAAAAATTTTGAAACTGTATATATGCCATCTGAAATGTTTTGAAGAAGAACAATGCTGAAAAGGGATTGCCAGGTGTGAAACGCCATGCGATCTACAACTTGTGCTCAGAAAAGGGGGGGGGAACCAGTCTCTTTCTTAAAAATACAGTCTCTTCCAACAATGACCCCCTGTATAAACGTATAACTATTTGCCTTAGACTTGTCCACAAAAGCCCACATGAAAATACAGCAGCAAGCCTTTAAGGTGCCGCAATGTTCTTGCGTTATTTCTGTTTCTTCCGTTCTTGCCTGATATGCTAGCACTAACCAACATGGCCACCTCTTCTAAAACTCATAATACTGTGTGTGTACATTTTATTTTGCTACCTAGAGAGATGTTCCTTGTTTCTGTCTGTATTATGAATAGACCAATCAGTCTAATTCATGGTACATATGAGTCATAAGCTCATTTCCCACCCTCAACAGTCTGCTATTTTTTTAAAGAAAAGACATGGAACATCTTGTTTGTTTTCATATATCTCTTTTCCCAACACACACATTTTGTGCCCCTAACACAAGAATGTTCTCATATCATTTCTACTGCATCTTAAAATTCAAAGAAGTACATGGTGTGATGTATAACCACATAGTAATTTAATTTTTTAATCATGTATTGTTTAATTTATCTTTTAATATTTAACTTACTGTGTTTTTAAATTGAGTGAATTTTAATGTTGCGAGCCACTTTGTGTCCCTTGTTGGGAGAAATGTGGCACATAAATAAAACTACTAATAATAATCCATATAGTTCGCACAGATTGGCTTACTGTAGAAAAAGAGAGAATCAATTTGGGTCTACATTTTTAAAGTGAACTGGTTAACTTAAATAATGCAGGTCAGAGTAAGTTCTCTCCTATCCTTATTCTGCAAAAGTGTAAACACAAACGCATGTCAAACCCTTGAAGGATCAAATCGAAGCCTAGAACCTCTAATTTTAGAAATCAAGCAACAGTCAGAATAGGAAAGAAAAGTATTCCATGTTTCTTTTTCTTTTCCATTTCTTGTGAGACTGTGCTTTAATTTCTAGTATGAAATTTTCTGTACACATCTTTTCTAGAACACTTCTTTACTATGCATATTCCCCATTGATTCAGGTCTGTTCCTCTATTTTCGTCAGCTGTGCCCTCTTAGCCGTTTTTCAAATGCACACGTGACTTTGTGCATATTTTATTTCTCCAAAATACATCCTGGGCCTTGCCAAGCTGCTAGATTTTATGGCAAGACCCCTTTTGTCTCAGAAACAGCCTCATGATGCCGAGCAGAGTACAAAAGGGGTATTTCAGTAGAGGATCTTGAAACCAACGTACGCAACTCCTTTTCATCCCTAGCTTGGAACTGGCTCACGACATGGATGGCACAATAAACCAAACTAGCTCTTTGCATCTTTCAGATGGCAGCATGAAAGGGACTGCAGAGCAGCTTCAAGTAGAGCTGACAACTCCTGAGGCATCTCACTCCCTTGACAAGTGCCACTGTCAACGATACAGCGATACAGCGCTTGCTGCAAAGTTAAAAGGGAGGGGAAAAAAGCCTGTCCACTTGAGGAGATGCAGGAACCAAGCTAAGCTGCAGTGACAAAACCTCTCCTCAGGCAGCGTTGGGCAGGCCGCCCTTGAACACAGAGCAGTTCTTGCTGGCCTGAGGAGCCGTAACCATCAAGTTGCCTTGATGCTAATGCAACTTATTTGAAACTGCCTTGACAATTAAGTTGGCCGAGATCTTTTTGGCAGGTGGAAGCAGATGATTTACATCTCAGAAGCAGCTGCTTTGCTGAAGAGCCATACTTCATCACCGTTAAGTGAAATCTATAACTGAGCACACAGACACATGCACACACCAACACACACCAACACACACACACACACAGAGAGAGAGAGAGAGAGAGAGACGTCCATAAGTGGGGACTTCCCCCCCTCTGGTTCAGGATGCTTTGGGAAATGGTGGATTTGACTAAAGCTGTGGAACATCCAGAATTAAAGAGGATGAAATGTGTGTGGGAATATGGAGAGGGGAAGCATCAAAGGGCTGTCAAAAGAAGGAAAGTCTGGGATTAGAGAACGATGGGGTCACAGAAAGAGAGGGAAGTTTCAAAGCTTGCTCCCAGCCGCATTTCTCTCGGTCATTAAAATGAGTGTCAAGAGAGCTTACAGTACGGTCAGTGCCTGTCCTACTGAGGAAAGAACCGAGGCTTCAAAGTCTGATTTCCTAAAGAGGAATGCGCTACAAAGCATGAGTCACTCTGCACACTCTTTTTCAATGGACCCCGATCTTAAAAGATCAATGGAGGGCCTGGAGCTCGGTGGCAGACTGAAGGCTGCGTAGGCGGAAGGTCCCGTGTTCAATCTGTCACCTCCAGGGAGAAGATGTTCCAAGTCGCACATGATGTGTGAAGAGTCTGTTTTTCCTCAGTGCTTTGTAGAACGAGCGCCAAAGGAGGAGGCCACACTGGGCGAAGAAAGGCAACCCAACCTGGCGTAAGGGAGCTGCAAAGAGAGACAAGATGTTGCCGTGGTTGCAAGCAGACGGGGGAATGAGAGGCAGGTTCCAATCCCCATCCAGCTTGTTCGCGAGGTGACTGTAGGCCACAACCACGAACACTTGCTCACATGGGTGTTGCCTGGATAAATACAGTGGTGGGCGGAGAAGTATACCCTCTGCCACTCCTCTGTGGTTCCTTGAAGGGAAGGAACAGTATGAAGATCAGGCTAGGAAATGAACCTGGCAGGCTCCTATCATTGTTGGTGCCATTGCTATTACCAGTCAAAAATACAAGGCATAGTCTTAGCATGTTGTTTTTAATTTTACCCATATTTCATATACGTCCATAATTTTAAATTGTGCAATGCTCTGATAGGAAGGAAGATGATGATGAAGAAAACAAATATGAAAAAAAAAACAAAAAATACATACATACAAAAAAACACAAAACAACATAAAGATTACGAGTATACGAAACGTGCTCCCTCCAACCCCCAAGTGGTTTGTACTCCTCTGCCTTTTGCAAACCTAGTAGCTAAAAAGGGAAAGCTGGACTGTGATGGGAATTGAGGTTTTTGGTTTGCGAAGTGAGAAAGTGAACTGTACAGTCTCAAGGGGTGACAACTATAAGTGCGGCACGAAGTGCTTTTTGCCAGCCACTCCTTCCTACAAGGTATTCCGTTCCATTTTCTCTCTCTTTTTCCTTCCCTGTCCTACCCTGACCAAATGGCTCAGCATTCGACATATTTGATCCTTGTTGCACGGCTGAAGCTCTTCTCTTTCCCGTCCTAGTGATTGAAAGGAATTCCAGTTTACCGTTGGGATGCCTGACGGTTTTAACTTAAGAATGAAAGAACAGCCACAGAGAACAAGACTAAAGACCTGTGTAATGGCAGCCTTGGGTCCACACAGCTGTACGACAATGTCCCAGTGAAATTATAGGTCCCCCAACAGAAAGCCATAAAGGGTCTTTTGAAGTTTTATTTTTGGGATTGGGGGAAAGGGGGATAAAAATAAAAACTCTGCTTTTTCTCAAAGAAAGCAGGATAGCATCATAAAAAAAGTCAGAACAATGCCAACAATCACGTTTGGTTCCGGTCCAAGCAGAAGCATTACACGGCAGCAATTAAACAAAAGGCAGAAACTCAAACGTCTCAAAGCAGCAAATTTTGCTCGTGTTATCGGTCAATGCTCTTCCTTGCCCTCTGACGTAAGGGTACAATAGATGTTCAATTATTAATCTTTTCAG